CTCTCTCTCTCCTCTCTCTCTTCTCTCTCTCTCTCTCTCTCTCTCTCTCTCTCTCTTTCTTTCTTCCTCGCTCCTAAATCTTGCTTTTCTCTCCCACTCACTCCTTATCTCTCAGCTTTTCGGTTTAGTTCACACAGTGAAGAAAGCATCTCGCGAACCGCATTATACATTTCTTTATTATCCGCGCAGAGAAATATCACTTGCGCAAAATGTAAAAGGTTACACGGAGAAGCGTGCGGCGAGCACGACCGACCTCCATCGGTTTCATAAGAACGGGTACCGCGACGGCGGTAACTTTCTTGCCACGCCTAATGTCAAGATCGCAACATCAATCGCATGTAGATCACTCCGCATCGATTTTGTGAAAAAAGTGTATACGCATCTTAGTAGGAGTACAACCGATAAACGGTATAAAAAAAGTGGTATATAAAGGAACAAAACTGAAAAGGATTCGGGTTCCGATTGCGAGGTTTCAATTACAGGCGGTTTGCGGTTTTGCAAGAGGGGCAATTACGACGAAAAAAATTGTCACAATCGGATTTCGCCAAGTGGAGAAGTTGAATGTACCTCGCTACCTCGCTTTCCGAACTTGATCATTCCGGGGCAAACCCCGGCGGCTTTTATGCAAAATAGAGTGCTTTACAAGCGACATGAGATCGACGTTTCGCTACATCCCGTTAAGCGATTTTCCATATATCAAAAGTCGATTGAGAGTATATAGCTAGACAAATGTCAATTACTTGCCGCGCTTACTTGGCCATAGCGGCAAGGCGTAATGTGGCCATTATAGGTGACATTCATCGGCTGCATAGACGTCGACACGTCGACGAACGCTGTAACGAGGTCATCGTATGGCGTACCGGTTGCACGAGCGTAGTATCTCCGGACGAAGGAAACACACATGACAAATCTTATAAAGGCGCAATCAACGATTGCTAGAAACGAACAGTCTCTAACAAAGCAATTACGAGATAAAAATAATTGTTTTAATAATCGATGCGCGAACACGTCAATCGCGAAGCGAATAGTTAGCTGCAATTACCTGCTCGCGCATTTACCATCGTGCATATAATTTTTTTTTTCCCCCCCTTTATTCTCTCTTTTTTTGCGCGGTAATAAACTGTCGTTCATTATCGTCCCCTCCGGGAAACAATGAGCCCTATCCAATCGAGGCTAATTCTAGGAAAAAAAAAAAAAAAATTCTGCAATAACGTCGAGCAATGTAGACATTAATTTTATCGTTTGGTTTAAATTCTTTGTTACTGACAATCTCTGATTTGCCACTGACGACCGTTCAGCCGACCGATTAAACGAACTTCCAACGAACGAACGAACGAACGACCGGCGGAATACTCGGATCGAGAAACGGAGTGAGTGAGTGAGTGAGTGAGCGGGATGTAACATCGTTCGATGACCTCGCGAGCGAGAGGCGAATCGCTCTTCTGATGTTTTCACCAATACCTTAGAAAGT